GAATTTAGTAAACAGAAGACATTTTTTATCCAAAGCACAGCAAGTGTTTTCTTATGTATAAGTGTAGTGATTGAAGCGGTAACAGATGACAAGAAACTGGTTCTGGACTGACTTAGGACTCCTGAGAGTTCCAGGTAACACGTTATGTTTCAGCTGCCTCTGAATGACCCTTCATGGTGCTGCTACCCTCCATCATTGAAAAGAGGTGAAGGTTAAGATGATTTTCATGAATCCCTGGCTGAGAACATACTCTTTTTCCCGGCAGGCTGCTGAGTCGAGTGACATGTGGGAGCAGAGAGGGCACTAGTCGCACGTGGCTCCACAAAGTTCCAGTGGGCCAGACTGAGTTTTTTAACCGAAGAAATACTTTGAAATAGTACATTGTCTGCCACAATGATATGTTTATGTACTGTCATTTAATTTCTTTGTGCAAAACGTTAGATAACCTTTATAAAGAAATTGAATCCATGGAGCACTGTCAAAAACAGAAACCAGAAATCAAACTGTTATTGTCGGAAACAGTAGGGATCAGATCCTTAAGTTACAGCTAACTGGAATGGCCAAAATAGTGTCATTGTGGACAGTAGCATCTACATTTTAAAAACGTTCAAGCAAATTATGTGTGACGCATGCAGTATTTCACTTTATTTTAAAAAATCCCACTATGCAAAATCATGAAACAGATTCATTGTAATCCCAAGAAAATTCTTAATGCACAATAGGTTTTCCTCAACTTCTTTGTTTCCCTGTTATTGAGAATCTTTTTAGATCTGTTTATTTCAGTACTCTCTGGAAAATTCAATATCTTAGCGCTGTTAATTTGCCGTGGAATAAAGCATATAAATATTCATAGGTTTAGAACAGCAAATGTAACCATTTCTGTAAATCAGCTTTGGAGATTGCAGAGATTTTTTCAACCGAATTTCTTTTGAGCGCCCGTCATTTAAAGGAAAAGAAAAAAAAAGCCTTATAATAATTTCAACATTACTGGTCATTTCCTGTGCAATACAGGCATAGCTGTCCACAGCAATCAGTGTGGAAGGTGGGGGATGGGCTGTGTGGAACAGTGGATCAGGAGGTTGCTATAACAACAGCACCTTGGTGGTTCTCTTTCCCCTGACAAATGAATTGCTGCTGTTGGTGGGATGTGGAGCAAAAGCATCTACTTTAGCCAGATGAAAGCTTTGCCGACTATCTGAAGGGCTCTTCTCTTTCTCTGCTGTTGATAGAGACGGCAAATTAGACAGTCTACGCCTGTGAGCCGCAGACTGGTTAACCGATGGGGGGAAAAGCAAACATTTTTAATGCTTGACAGTGCAGAGTCAAAACCCTTTTAGATACAGAGATTGTGGGGGGGTTCTCCAAAATGTGTCTGCTTGTTTCATTCTGTCTTGCCAAATAAATGTGCCTTTGAAGAAAAATAAACTTATTTAAATGTTGCAGCACTGGGCCAAGCTTTGAAGCTTTGTGAATACTGTGTGCCAGTAATGTCTGGCTCCAGCAGAAACAACTAAGTGGCTTGGTGTTCTAAATGGACACGAGTTTGGCGTTTACTTGTCTCAAAGTTGAGTATTGGGTGGTTAATGTGGGACTGAAACATTGTCGAAGGACATGTTATTTATTTTAATTTCGGGTGTTTTTATTGACCCATACTGGTATCTTGGGATTGTAGAAATTAATGAGATTGAACCCATTACAAAATTAAACACCTACAATGAGAGGTTGCACTAATGCATCTTTTGTAAACTTGTTTTTGATGTCCTCCATTAAAATCCAGTAAAACTGGTCCTTCTCTTACTGTGAACTGCTATTGGTGATTTCTGTACTTGGTATTATCACTAGATGAATTGTGGCTTTGGCTACTTATTTGCGTGTTTCAGTTGTTCTGAGTTATTCACAATACCTTTCTAAATAAGCACATTTTATATTTAGGATATAAGATTATGCCATATTACATCCATACATTGTCAGAAGTTCATATTCACGAAGAATCTTGGAACCACTGGACACAAAGCAGGTCTCATGGATGAGATGGTAGTCCATTAAAGAACGCACTTACACAGGGACACATTAGAGAGCATAATACCAGATTTCACATGAAAAGTGAGAGGAGACAGAAGCAGGTTTTATTCATATAATTTTAAATTGCCCTTTTAAGCTAAACCACTCAAAACCCTGACTGGAATCTGGAGTCTGGTTTTGTCCCTTTTGGGTTTCTCCTAGAGAATGACAACACGAATAATTCCTTTTATAGGATAAATACTGTTAACATTGACAACTACTGCCTTTAATATCGTTAACGTGAAGCCATTGCCAGCTATATAAAGAACAGTGGAATGGTTTAAAAAGAAGAAGTTGCATGTTATTGTTCTGATATTGTTATTGTTCTGACAGTTTCGCACTGTTCTGCACAGTAAACATTTTGTTTTATACATGAATCAGTTGCTTACTCGTGGAAAGAGGGGTGAAGGCACAGAAAGGCAAATGCAAGTGTCAAGCATATGTTTATTTTGGATTTTCCCTTGGCAGAGATCCCTAAAAACACATTTTTTGCCCTGTGAGACAATCAGGTGTTATAGTCAAAAGGTAATAAAAAAAGATGCAGTGCAGATTTTTTAATGGGTATTCCTGTAATTAACAGTTACCCTCTTAATGTGAACACCTGGAGTGTAATTATCACAGGGAAACACATATTAAAGCACTAAGTAGGAAGCGGTAGCTTATTTAAAACAGAAGCTTTTGTTTTAGCTGACCGGCAAGTCGCTTGTCAAATCTCTATAAAATGGTTTCCTTCAGAGCCCAAAGTTCCTGTTTGCGATGCCAAATAGAGGAGCTATTGTGAAGCCGCTGGATATTTTCATCTTTCTTCTCGGAGAACTAGTGCTGAGCCAGTGTTACAGGATAATGTCCTCCTGGTGAGCGAGCGTCACGCAGGCCAGCACAGCTGGCAGTGCAGAGCCCCCTTCCTGATCTGAGCACTAACCTGTCTAAGAGTTGTGAAAAGAGGAGCAGTGGATCCGTGGCGAAGGAAGTGACACCCTGTTTAAAGACATGAGCTCATTCACCTCTTGAATTATCTGCAGCCTCTTGAGGGGTGAGCAAGGGAAGTCCCCCTTACATGAATTTAACAATGAAGAATGTAATAGGGTACTCAGTGAGGGACGCCCCTGTATCTCATAAAGAGCAGGACTCGGAGCTCCCCAATCCAGATGTTCTTTCAGATCTCTTTGGTTGTCTCAGTTCCTGGCCCTAATCTAAACCATACAGTACATGATACTATGAAGTCAGACTGAGCGAGACTAAGCGCCACCATTTCTCATTGGTTATGTTTTGACTGTAAGTCATGACTACAATATCAGCAAAATGAGCTGTATTATTATTATTATTATTATTATTATTATTAATGTTTGTCTTAATTGAGTATAAGCTCCTATTTTGAAAAACTAACAAAGTTGAATTACTCACTAACATAGAGGTTGTCAGCTTGCTTTCTACAGTATGTTTCCCAGTTTCAGAAATACATGTTAATGTGTACAGAACAGCCTTCTGTTTATTTTGATTGGCCTTTTTTCATTTTTAGTTGTCTGTATTGTATTGTGGTTTGTATTGATGAAACTCAAATCTTGGTTCCATCAGCCTACATGGCATCGGTAGAGCTCTTTGCCTTATTTAAGATAAAAGATAAGATAAGATCACTTTATTGGCCATATACAATTTCTTGCATTAGGAATTTGTCTTTTTTTGCATACCCCAACTTGCTCTCCATGAGACACTCAGAGAGGGAGGGAGCTTTTGTCAGAGCAAAGGGTCAGCCATTTATACAGCACCCCTGGAGCTGTTGGGGTTAAGGGCCTTGTTCAGGGGCCCAACAGAGTAGGATTCCTCTGCCCGCCGCGGGATATGAACCGACAATCTTCCAGCCACAGGCGCAGATCCTTAGCCACAGAGCCACCGCACCACCCATTTGTGAATAAAAGTGTTGAGTTAGTGTTGAAAGGTTGAGTTTTTTGTCACCGTCTTAAGACAAAAAGGACAAAAACTGCCAGGTTTGCTTCAGCTAATTTGATGCGTGAAGACTAGCCAGGAGAGTGCTCCCAGAGCAATGTACGTCTAGTTCTGTTCCAGAGATTGCCGTTAAATTCTTCATTCCATCGCCAGCCAGGTGTGGCTCATCTCATCTTTAATACCCTATTGCAACTCCACAGTCAACAATTCTGTATGGTGCCTTCCTGATTTGTGACAGTGAATGTAGCCTGTATTTAATTACTGAAATGAATTAAGCAAGAGACAGTAGTGTAATAAGTGCTTGCTGAAGTGTGAACAATGAAAGTTCGTCAACTGTCATTTTTTCAGCACAGATTCCTTCCGCTGTTTTTCTCTTTTTCTGGAAGTAATTATTAAGTGCTAACAGGCAGTAGTTATCGCACTGTTTTTACCTGTGTTTTTTTCTCCTGAAACTAAGACAAAAGACAGTTAATGTGTATCAATCTTTCTTAGGGAAAAAGGAGAGAATTCATACAATATTGTCTGGTATGGGGAGACCTTAGTGATGTTATATGCTTCTTTGAATTATTGTGTAATTGCACTAAAGTGAGTGGATATTAAGCCCTAGAAATAAAATAGTTTACAATGGTATACAATAGTGAATTGTAAAAGTTAGTGTTTAGACAGCATTTTGTACATCCAGCATGCCACCACTGTGTTTGAACATTTAAGCAAATGTCTTGGGAATAACATTTGTTGAATAAAGTTCTTAAACCTTCAAAATGTTTATTTGTGTATCAAAATGAGAGATCGCTAATTGGTATTGATGCTCACGCTTCTGATCCCTCTGAAATTTCTCTCATTTTTCAGAAAGTATTTTGAGATTCCTGCAGTGAAGAAGCGAGTGCACGCTCATTGTTAGATTCCAGTCCTCCTACGTTCTTCCTGAATAATTAAATATAGTTCTGTGCATCTATTGTATGTTTAATTCAATTTTTTTTCCTTCCCTCTTTCAGCTGCAAGAAACTGTGAAAAGGAAACTGGACAGTGCACGGTCTCCTCTGAACGGTGAACAGAACGGTATTTGCGATGGGAATTTTTCGCCAAATGCAAAAAGGCTGAGAAAGGAAGGGCCTGTGGGAGGCCTGGACTCATTGGCTGGTTTGCCCAATAACATCCCCCCTGTGCCCTCTGTATCCCCACTCCACCAAATTGATATCAAACCAACGCTGCCCCTGGCAAACAACACCAGCAGTGGCAACAGCCACGTACCCAGCCGGCCGGATGACATGGGCAAAAATGGTGGTTTGCCAGAGATCAAGCTGCCAGTAAATGGCACCTTGGACCTGGATGATAGCTTCGGTTTCCTTCCGAATAAGGATATGAAACAGGAGCCCTTGGATGATACCACCGGGATTGAGTCATCAGACACCTCACTCTCGAACCAGAACAAGCTCTTCTCGGACATTAACCTCAATGACCAGGAGTGGCAGGAGCTCATTGACGAGCTGGCCAACACTGTGCCTGAAGACGACATGCACGACTTGTTCAATGAAGATTTTGAAGACAAAAAAGAGGCTGAGTTCACTAGGCCAACTACCCAAACGCCCCTCCCCCAGGACCCCCCTCCCCAAAACAGCCAGATGCCTATGGGTTCCCCACAGGTACGGCCTTCCTCTTCAGGCCCTCAGTTCAACACTGCATCCAACAGCACCCCTCCCCAGCAACCCCTTCAGCAGCCTCCTTCTGTCGGCATGGCGGCAGGCTCACCAGCAAATTGTGTGGCCCAGTCACCACAGACTCCCAACCAGGCTCAGACTCAGCAACCCAGGCCGGGGAATGGATTCCTGATGACCCCAGGTCCTGGAGTAGGGCAAGGGCTTGCTCCTGGGCCATCAGCAACTGCAGGCCAAGGGGGAAGTATCACAGTCCCAGTCCCTTCGTCTACTCCTGACTTATCTCCAGCAGAACAGCTGAAGCAAATGGCTGTCCAGCAGCAGCAAAGGGCAAAACTACAAAAACATCAGCAGCAGCAGCAACAAACACAAGCACCCAACTGGTCACCTGCTGGTGCTCCCACAAGCCCATATGGAGGGCCATTCAACCCTGACAAACCAAATAGCCCCATGATGTATTCACAAGCTTTTAACTCCCAAAATCCTATGGTGCCTCCAATGGCAAGCAACCCTCAGAAGGCCACGATGAATAACTACCTCCCTCAAAACCATATGAACATGATCAGCCAACAGCCAAACAGCATGGGCCAAAACACTATGGGCAAGCAGCAAGCCAGCATGCTCTCATACAGTAACACTAAGCCCCTGACTCATTTCAGTGCTGTGGAGCACATGAGTCAGAGGATGACCCCCCCTATGGCCAACCCTAATAAGAATCCCATGATGCCATACATGCAGCATCAGCCAGCACAGCAGCCACCGCAGCAGCAGCAGGTGACGCCACAAGCCCAGGCGCAGATATCTGCTCAGGCCTCTCACCTGAGCGAAGAACAGAAACGCATGCTTCTCTTAAAACAGAAACTGAATCAGAGTATGCCTTACAGTGCGTTGCAACCTCACAGTCAGGTAAGTGGTGGTGCAATTGTTTGTTTAACAGAAATGCTTTCTTGGGTTCTTGGAAGTCTGCGGTCAAGTATGAAATGTTTTGCCCTTCTAATTTGAAAACCCCATGTAAACAAATTCAGTTTATAAAAGGCGCAAACATATTATTTTCTTCTATGCGACAAAAAACAGACCCCTATTTATTTTTAGGCTGGTGGTTCCTGTGATATGAACTGCTGAATTCTTCTTTTGTTATTTTCAGGCAGCTTGTTTGTTTTTAACGTGGGATTGCAAAACATTAAGGAACAAGGCTGAAGATGTCTAGAGGGCTATGAGATTAAATGTGAACATTAACTATATGGCAGAGAAGTGTGTTCTCTTCTTTGGTCCCAAGTTTGTAGTCTTATCTTGTAGTTCTGTGGTGCTGCTGAATTATGAGAGGTCATCTCATTTGTCTGCCTTTCTGTGCCTGATAAACATAGGTTTATTTGTAGATCTGGTACTTTTGGGGTTTTTTTAGATTTTGAATTTATGCTACAAACAATATCGCATAATAAAACATTAACCTTTTAGAGGGGTTTCCTTGCTTTGCTTATTCTAACCTGTTTAAGTTTTCAAAATGGGAATACTAACAAATCTAAATGGTTTCATTCATCATCTCAACACAGTCATGTTGCAAGAAAACTTACAAATTGAACGGTTTTCAGAAAATGCAGGCATAGGATTACAGTCTAAAAAGACGCATCTCTCCTACTGTGACTAAATTATGTGATTTGAGGCAGCTTAATGTTTCACAATTAATCTGCACATGCATACATGCAATAAACAGCCAGTTAATCAACAGTTATCACTTAAAAAAATGAGAAGATCCCCCACCGCTGGTCAAAACGAGAAAGCAACGAGCAGGTGTCGGAATTGGCTTAAACAAAGCAATTAATTTTAAGAGGTGAATTTTCGTTAATGGTGTTTTGTTGCACAGCAGATATATAAAGGCTGAGAAGTACCATGTCTGCTTATACATGACTGCCCAGGGTACCACTAAGAGCATGTGAGGCTGAGGCCTGGCTCCTACACTGGGGAGTTCTGGGCTCACTGTGTGTTCTAATTCACCCACGCGTGTCAGGCATGGCCACTTCATTCTAAGGTACCTCTGTTGAGGTTTCTGCAAGGCTAAGCACCTCGTTATGTAAATCGGTGCCATTGTTAAGTTATCCTGCCTGTTCCATCCTGTTCTCACACCGGCTACGATTTGGAAATGTATCATGCCACATCTTGCCAATCAATATAGTAGTTTAGACACCAAAACAGTCAGATGTCTGAATCCGAACAGGATCCTTTCAAACGTTCAGTGAATTCACCACAGAGAACACAGAGAATATAATTACAGCACCTATTAAGGATTATATTTTATTTGAACAGCTTTCACTCCAGTAAGGTCTCACTGTGACATTTTAAAGCTCGATTTCAGTTGCTAATATCATGTTTTTAGAGACATTTCATAAATATTGTATAATCAGAATCTTTAATTGAAACAACATGTAACAACGAGGTTTTCTGGTATTTTCTTTAAAATATTAAATTACTGACATATCAGTTAAAAAAGCACAATGGGTGTTTATTTATCTTATATGAACATAATGTAGCATTGTAAATAAAATGTGCATTTTGTCCTTAAATGTAAATGGAAGAGTTCAATGGTGAATTGTTTGTTTCAATACTGTCTAGGCTTACGTTGTTTTGACATGGTCTATACATGGCTTTGTGTGTTATATTTGTAGTATAATTTTGCTTGTTGAAGCCCGACAATGACTAATACAAATGGGGAAATATGGACTATACCTCATTGAGCTGTAATTCATTTCGATATAAACACCAAATATTGTCCGTCTAGAGCTGTTTCAAAAGAAGGTTTTCTGCCCGAAAATAAGAATGATTATTTAGAAGAAGCAGTCTGAAAACTTCATTTTTTTGTATCATGAAATTTCATCAGCAATTTCTTTGACGGCTATTTCTTGCACGGGCAGTGCTCAATTCTCTGTTTTTTCTTGAAGTACTAATTGTGATCTTCTGGTAAAACTGTAGAGAAGTAGACTGGAAACACCAATAATATTCTTCTTCCCTGTGCCCTTGCCTCTCATGAAGGGTTGCTAAACTTCATCATGGTCTGTTTTTGCTGAAATAGTAAATTTCAGATGTATATAGCAATAACACAATTGCGTTTTTGCAGATTAGTAATAGGAGCAGAATTCACGAGGCAGAAAAAAAGCTAAGTGCCTGAAAAGGCCACTATAACCAGTAAAAAAAATAAAATTAAAATAGTACATGGACCTTTGAAGTAGTTAATTAGTGTAAACGTGTTGGAGAATGGCATGGTTAGGCCAATAAAATGAACTGCTTCAGTTCTCCTGTGTAAAAGATGAAACAAACCGTCTTTAAGTAGCCAAATTGAATAGAGCTGAATTAGTGTTCTTTTTCCTCTTAGTGCTGATACAGAATCGAGTTACATGAGTGCAAAGAATAGTCTGTGGTGGGGAAAAAAAGCAGCCTTGACCTCTTCCATTGGGCCTGTAACCCCTTGCCCAGGGCAGGCACTCCTTTCCTTCTCTTACTGCCTCCATACGATTTCTTCAGCAGCGCAGAACCGAACATGAAAAACAAAGACGGCAAAGCAGGAGTTCATTAAAATGGATGCTTGCTATAGCAGAGAGGAATCCACACTGCCATGTGTCAAGAATAGGTCGGTGGGAGCTTTGATTCATTCCCTCTTTTCTGCTGCCGTTAGAGGAAAATTCAAATAGGGAAGCCCAGGCTTCCAAAGGCCGCACTTCTCTGTGCCTTCTGTAATTAAAATGCAATGGATCCGTTCTGCCACGATCCCAATGCTAAGGCTTTGTGTGCCGTTTGCAACATATTGTTCAGCAGGAGCTCAACCCGATCTTCCCTGTATTTAGGTACCACACGTTATTTTGGTGTCTGCAGTTCTAAAATTATAAAAATCACAGGAAGAAGAATGCATACGGTTTGCTGTTCATGAGGAATGGCAAAATGTTTAGTTGTGTCATATTCCTGTTTCATTGTATCATCCAATTAATACAGAGACCCAGTGCGTTCTTTGTATGATGTATGATTAGGAAATGTGAAGTGACCCAGACTACAGACACACTGAGACGTATTGATTATTGAAAAGGCTTTGGCGTGGCGGAGGGATCATTAGCATTATTTATGTGCTTTGTGTTTTTTAACAGACGTGAACCTGAATTGTTTCCGCCCCTCCCCCTCCAATCCAGTCATTAAGTTTGAGTGTTTGCTTTTTCATTAAGAAACAATTAATTTTTTTAACTTGTTTGTCAGGATGGAATTGTTATTTTATTCTGGTAATATACATCAAGTCGTCCACTGATTTATTCTGGCGGGCAATATCATAATTTACCTATGTTTAAACTAACAGATTATATGCTGGTACAAATCAGAATGGGAAAAGCTGACTCGAAAAGAGATAAGAATTGGATATGAATAAAATAAATTCATTACTGTGGTCTCCTTTGAGTAGTAGGTACAGTAAGTGAATAATATTGTCTGTATCATATTATGTTACAAAGCAGAAAGCAAGTACATAAATCCAATGTGTAGGCCTGGATGTGAAGTTTAGTTTTTATTACTTGGAATCTTTAATTCCTCTTTTCTTTTTTGAAACCCTTTGTTGCTGTCCATTGGCGGTTCCTACTGTGCAAACACATAAGCCTCTTCAGAAACATAAGTCATATCAAGGCCGATCGATTTGTCGAAACATCTCAAAAGCTCAGAGCGAACTCAGCTGTCTGTGGTACCACCTGGCCCTTCCCAGGATTCAGAGTCCTCAAGGCTGATTGGGTTGTAGTCAGTCCTGCTTTTTCTGCATGTGGGTCTCTCAGGTGCAGTCGTCGAGTGGCACAAGGTGAATTTCTCTCAGTTTTTGACTTGCACTTTTGTTTCTTGAGGGGGGATAATTCCTGCTTTCTCCACTGATCAGGATTTTGTAGGTTTCAGCACCTCTGATCATTGCTCAGTTGTTGTAAATGCCGACCCCACTAGTTTTGTTTACATCCTGTTCACATCTATGAGAGCGTGAGCAGCGCCACCTCTGACCAGTCAAAACCGCCTGACCTCCCCTGCGTGGTCTTTTTAAAGCAGTGTCAGTCACAGAGGCAGATAACCACAGTCGGCGTTCGAACAGAAGACAGACGTTGAGCCCCCCTCCCCCCCCCTCGCTTTCCTCCCTCCCTAAGCCCCCAATATTGCTCTCACTGGCTGAGCAGGAAGCTGTGCCAGGGCTCACCCGCACGTGTCGAGTCTTGAGATGAGCTTGGCGGCACACTCTCAGATTCTGCGGAGAGTCTCAGAGGAGGCGGCGGCGGAGCGGAGGGTGAAGTTAAGGGAAGAGGAGAGGGGTGGGGGGAGGGGGGGGATTGCTAGTTAAAGCACAGGGACTGTATTCCTTCCTGTAGAGGCTGACACTCGACCAGCAGCGGGTTCTTAGCTGCTCATCCTCCTGGCGGTGACAAGTAAACAAAGAGGGCAGGCGGCTCTCTGTTTGCGAGGGGCTGAAGGCTGCTAAGTGAGTGATCATTAGGGAGAGCAGGGGTCTCGCTGTTCATCACAGTGATGTGGAGAAAGGGTAGGGGCGTGCTTTTTCCATTGTCCCTTTGTCTCGGGACTGATTATTTTGGTGGCTTCATGAGCTTCTAAGCCCTAGACTAGCACTATCACCGTGACCTGGAGAGTGTTTAAAACAAGGGGCAGAAAGCTTAGAGAATCCACAACACGTTAAAATACTGTACTAGATGAATCTCATAAACATAACACATTATGTTAAATCACTGCAATTTTAATATTACTGCTTGCTCTTCCAGAGAAGATGCACCTCTTTACTGTAGTATTTTTCCATGCTTAATCTTGCTTTTAGTGTGTTTGATCTTGGCATTAAAACCAGTTTTTAAACACAGAACTGCAAGGGTAAGTATCAAATCAGTTCACTACCATGAAAT